CTCCTCCTGCTGCTGCTGCCGCTACAGTAGCAGCAGCGACAATGGCAGAGTCGCACAGGCACTGGCACCACTTGCGGTGATGATTTAGGTAGCAAGGAGTAGACAACTGGAGCAACAGGACTAAGAACCATTGATGTCCTTTCCACATCTGCAGGAGATCTATGATAGGGATCGAGAACTACCAACACGAGCCCGTTTCAGAATCGTTGCTGCACTGACTGCGAATCCGTCTACTTACTACGACCGAACTGTGCTTGTAACAACCCTAAACCCTAAACCCTAAACTAGGCCCTAAACCCTTTTGTCAGGCTGCAACCAGGCCTGTGAGCTTGTCAATCAACGTTACAGAAGCCTGGTAGAACATGACGAAGCTTCCACCACCACCGGAGCGATATCTCCACTGCTTAATTTCGAGTCGGTCATTTCGCCACTTCTTCCAGTCATCCATGATGTCTTTGGCTGTATCATCGAGTTTTTTCATCTGATCCTCTGCCCAACAGCTTCGCTTGAGATGACCACAACGGAAACATTACAAACATTGCCACACCCTGAAACAGAAACCTGGAACCCCATAACCCTCAAGTTAAACTACCCTTCAAAGCCTAAAACCCTAGGCGGCACGAATCCCCTCTACTGATTCAGAAACGATGTTCTGCCAAAAAAAGCCTGGCTTTCCGAGAACATAAAGATTTATGCAAAACAGCAAAAACTCTCTACAAAACCATATGAAGCCCGTATAGAACCCTATAGAACCGTTTCTAACCCTTGCTATGCAAGCAGTAGACCCCAAACACGAGAAAGAGCACAGAACAGTCTGGGCTCCATGCAATATATGGGGGTTTCCGAAAATGGGGGACCCCAACATAGTACCCTATATAGTAGGATCCTTATTATAAGGACCCCCCAAAATAAGCTACCCCCCTTTTTTTCCGAAAACTCCCATATGAACGTGATCAAGAAACCCTGGGTCTTCATTTGGGTTCTTTCGATGAATCCTAAGATGCTGGGGCTATACGGCCAGGGCTTCTTAATCAGCTTCCCACTCGAAACAAAGTGGTTTAGGGTTTAGGGACCCTAAACCGCAGAACCCTAAACCCTAAACCCTAAACCCTAAACCCTAAACCCTGAAACCTAAAAGCAGAACCCTAAACCCCAGAACCATTCCAATAAAGCATCCCAAAGGCTCCCAAGACAACCCTAGGACTCCAAAATGCTTCGGGGTTTAGGGCTCTAGGGTTCAGAGTGTTAAGGTTTAGGGTTTAAGCTTTTAGGGTTTAGAATTTTAAGGCTTAGGGTTTAAGGCTTTTCCGTTTAGAGCTTTAGGGTTTAAAGTTTTAGGCTTTAGGGTTTAGGGCTTAGGGCTTTATGGTTCTAGGGTTCAGGGCTGAAGGGCTTAAGGGTTTAAGGTTTTAGGGTTTAGGGCTTTAGGGTCGAGTCTAGGGTTCAGGGTTTAGGGCTTAGGGTTTTAGGGTTTAGGGCTTTAGGGCGTCAGGTGGTAGGGTTAAGCTCCTTCTCAGCTTGAGGATGGATGGCAGCCCAGTACACACAGCACTCTGGCGGGAACGCGACTCAAACGTTCGGGGTGTGATTTTTGGAGGCGTCACAGCCAGAAACTGCACGCTGCGCGAGGAGCACGACTCGGATTCGAACGAGATTGTAGGCGGGAAGACCATGCGAAGTCACGGCAGAGTGGTGGGGGGCACTATTCTGAAGCTAGACGAATTTCGGAAACCTCCTGAATTTGAACGTGAAAACCCCACAATGTTACCACGTTGTTCACGGAATCAAACTTCTAATTGCTCAGACGCCAGCGTGCTACGGGGGAATAAAACCGCAGCTGTGCCAGGCGATGTGAGGCTTAGAGTTTGAAGTTTTAGTTTAAAGTCTGCGGGTTTTGATGGGTAAAGTTCAATCAAAACCATATGGGGTGCCATATGGCCCTGGAACGATGAAACCCTGATATGGCCACTTATAGAACCCTTCAAGGAACTTGAAAACAGACTCCCATACAGATGGAACCCCTGAACCCTCGAATCCCGAAGCCCTAGACACAAAAACCCTCAAACCCTAAATCTCTAAAACCCGATGAAAAATCTCGTTGAAACCTTATAGGCTTATAGGCACCCTTCAACAGGAACCCTATTCCAATTACGAAGGGCCCTTCTTCTGAGAGACTCTGTGATAAGTAAGGCCGCTATACTAAGGTACCAAGCCCTTACATAGTACCCCCTGTAGACCCCTTTAAAGGAGTTATCCCTTCTGAAGCCTGTAAAGCAGCCCTGAAACTCTAAACCCTGAACCCTAAACCCTAAACCCTAAACCCTAAACCGAGAAGGCACCCGAAAGCTGGTCCTTCATGGCGTCCAAGACATCCTCGGAGACTTTCTTGGACTCGGGTTCGAACTCCTCCTTCTCGAGGCGGACGTTGTAGAGCTGCCGCCACCTGGGTTGGGATCTTACGGTTTTGAGCTTTAGGGTTCAGAGTTTAAGGTTTAGGGTTCAGGGTTTAGGGTTCAGAGTTCAAGGTTCAAGGCTCAGGGATTAGGGTTTAAGGATTGGGGTTTAGGGTTTAGCGTTTCATAACCAGGGGCCTACAAGCGAACTCTTGATGGCTCTTGACGAGGCTGTAAGGGTTTCTTGTTTTATGGTGCATTTCTTGTGTGGCATTTAATCGTTAGAAAGAGATTTTATTGGTTTAAGCGGAATTTACTTTATGGGTTCCCAGCGGAATGCTGCAAGGGTCTTGTATGATTTGTTGCAATAAGGGCTTGATAAGGTCGTGATGATGTGGGTTTTTTGTAAAGTCTAGGATCTGTTAAACGAGGCTCAGGGTCTCAGTGCCTTTGAACGGTTCATTCCCCAAGCGGTCGAATAACAATGCGGGGTCGTTACACAGTGTAGATTGGATGTGGCCGTGAAGTGCGTCCGGCTGCGGCGATCTCAGCGGGTACGCGGCTCCGATGGTGGCGTTGTGAACATGTTCGACTACGATCGCCTTCTTGTCACAGTCAGGCTTGGGCCCCGTCCACTGAGATGCCGATTCACTGGATTTCCGAATCGCACTACCGCCTTCGTCGCGCGTATCTTGCAGAACATGTCGTGTTCCCGTACTGGCCTCCCGATATCGTGCTCCTGCCACAGCACCGTGCATGTTTCGGCTGTGATTGGTGGTTTTGCAGCCAAGAGCGTTCTCAGCCACATTCCGCATAATCTGGGGTAGGACTCGCGTTCCGCCACAGTGCAGTGCGTGTCCCTCGAATCCTCAAACCCAACACGTCAAAACTTGGCCCGTAAACCATAAGCCCTATATAAAACCCTCAACCCAAAACCCTTAAAGGGAACCTACCCTAAACCCTGAACCCTTTGGGCCCCTAGGAGCCCCGGGCTTTGCAGGGCTCGGACTGCTACGGGCTCCTTCACTATTTGGAGTCTGCGCTGGCATAATAATAACGATAATCACAATCATACTCACAGTAATGTTAAGGAAAAACTAGTAAAAAACACATAGTAACATTAGTAATAACAGCGGTTGGTAGAATTTGGGAAATTCTCTGTAAGGTGTTGGCGACGGCTTGCTTTCATTTGCAAGAAAACGGAAAGCATATGCGGCATATAGCCCTGTGCGCTTTATGCAATGCCATATGTACCAACAGATATACAACTATACATAGATGCATAAATACATACATACATGCATACATACATGTGTACATACACACACGCACATATATATATATATACATATATATATATATACATATATATATATATACATATACATATACAAATATAAGCATATACAGGTGCAAACCTATAAAGATAGGCAATACAGCACATATACGCACACATATACATATACATATACATATACATATACATATACATATACATATACATATACATATATGCATATAAGAATATAAGAGTATATATATATATATGTATACACACATATATGCATATATACATATATATATATATATGCCTATGCACATATATATATATATATATATTTATATTTATATTTATACATATATATATATATGTATATATATACATATATACTTACATATATACGAAAAAACATATATACATATTTACATATATACATATATACATATTTACATATATACATATATACATATATATACATATGTACATA